CTCTACAGAGACTCGGAGCCCTTGGGACCCCCCCCCAGAACTTTGCCCGCCACCAGCCTTTCCCCCGCTCGGGCACCGAACGCATGTTGGGGGGTTTGGTTTGTTTCTGTCCCCCCCCTTCCCCCCAAAGGCTGAACTCCCATATCTGGGGATCCAGGCCTGCTCCGTGTGGCGCGCCCTGTGTTCGTCCCCTCTTTCCATCTCCCTTGGCCGTCCCCCGCCAACCTTCGCTCTTCTGCCTTTCAGCCAAAACTCATCAGAGGCCAGAAATCAAATCTCCCAGCTTCTCCAACGTGAAGGTCACGGACATCTTCCACAGGCTGGTACGTGCCACGGGGCCCGGAGGAGGAAGCCCCTGATGGTCCTGCAGGCAGCCAGGGTGGGGGTTGTGTGTGTGTGTGTGTGTGTGTGCAGAACCATGGGGCCGGGGGGGGATCACGGAGGGGAGCCCTCCCACCCTTTCTGAACATCAGCCCTGCGCCGTTACGCACACAGGTTCCGTGGGGGGAGCTTGGGGTTTCTTTTGGGGGGGGATTCCCACCCCCAGAATCTCCCAGGCAGAATTCTGTGCGGTGGCGCCCAAGAACAGAAGGCGGCCAGGAGAGGTTCCCCTACCTCCTTTCCTCCTGCCTGGGTGGCTCTCCCTGGCTGCTATCTAGCCTAGTGTTACCTTGCTCTGACTGGCAGCAGCCGAGAGGGGTTTCCCTCCCCAGCCGCCTCTCCCAGTTCCTCATGACTGGAGAGGTTGTGGAAATGACCTGGCAAAGCCAGCCCTCAGCTGTGCCCACAGGGTTCAGAGGAGGAGCCCCGCACTTTATAGCCTGCTGCTAATCCTCGCCAGCCATCCCTGTGTCGTGCGAATGGCTCTGAGGGGGCCCCTGGTCCAGTCTCTAAGAGGCCCTCCGGTGACTCTCCCCTTTTGCTCTCCTCAGGGCCCGCTCTCGGTCTTTTGCGCCAAGAACAGGTGGCACCCCCCGCGGACGGTGCACCTGGTCCGAGGAGAGAATGGCTTCGGCTTCACCCTCCGCGGGGACTCCCCGGTCCTCATCGCTGGAGTCATTCCCGGCGGCTGCGCAGCAGTGAGTGGCAGATTTAAAGGGGTGGGAGCCTTACTCGTGAGGGAGCCCTTAAAGGTTTTTTTTTTTCTGGAGCTTCTTTCAGCTTGAGAGCCAAATTCAGATGTGGGGGAGAAGTTCCCCCACAGGCATGGTAGCGCTGAAGGCTAAAGGGCAGGGCCTCAAATCGCAGTATTTTACCTCAACGAGTAAAATATGAGCGTTCCTAAATCTTGAGAGAAATATTTCAGACTTTTGGAACGGCAGGAAAAAGCTTGGGAGTCACCCACACTGATACTCACGAGAAAGGGTTGGGTCCTCTCCAGGAGATCCGGATTCCAAGGTGTCCGGATTGGGCCCCCACTCTGGTGTAAGGGACTTTGGATAAGCAGGGTGTGGGAGGAGGTGGACTTCTGGGTCAGAAGACAGGTCTGCAGTAAAGATGGGCACAAAGTAATTGGTGCTGCTTTTTACAAAGCTCACTACATGGCATTATAGGTGCCACACATTCCCTCTCCTGACTTCCTGGGCAGTTGTCCTACTCAGACGTCTCTCTGCGCTGCCCTGGCTGTCCTCCTTCGCCTGCTGTTTCATCCGAGCTCCTGCCTGGGCTTCCCTTCCCTGCCTCCTCTGGCAGCCGGACACTCACTGGCTTGTACAGGCAGAATCCCCATCCAACCTTCTTTGCCTGAGTGGTCAGCTGCTGGAGGAGGTGTGGAAGGGAAGCTTGGGCTGTTTGCCTGAGTGGTCAGCTGCTGGAGGAGGCATGGAAGGGAAGCTTGGGCTGGAGCCCGGACTGGGCAGCTGGCGAAGGAGGGCGACCCAGGTGGCACGCAGAGGCTTCTGAGTGGGGCAGCTGCCCAACGGGTGCAGGGAGAGGTGGTCCTGCATGGGGAACTCCATTCTGCCCGTCTCTTGTCCACAGCTTGTTCTGCCTCACAGGGAATTACAGCTTTTTTAAAAAACTTGTGTCTTGTTTGGTTAGTTTAGCCCAGCTAAATTAAAAATGAGAGCAGCTTTCTGTGAAACGGTTGGATTGCTGTTCCTCTAGTAAGGGCCAGCAGGCAAGGGAGGGAAAAGGTTCACGAAACCAGGGGGAGAACACAAAAGGGGCAGAGAGGCCCCCTGGCAGCAGATTTCGAAGCAGCTCTTGGCCAAAGACAGAATCCACTTGCCGAATAATAGGCTGGCGGCTCCTGGCAGAGCTCAGAAAACGTTCCTCTTGCAAGCCTCCATTCCCAGAATCTCCCAGCCCGCATGTCATGACAATGTTGGCCTGGGGGATTTTGGGAGTTGTAGTCCAACAGGGAATGACCCCAAGTTCTCTGTTCCGGCTTGGACGGCCTTAAAAAAGGACCAATTCAAAATTTATGGGGAGGAAGGGAGGTCCATCAACTACTGGCTGTTGTTAGGGTTGCTTAATAGAACCTCCAGGTTCAGTGATGGGATATCTCAGAATAAACACTGGTAAGATGAAAGCAGTGGGAGGCATCCAAATCCGTTTAACAAGCTAGTTCTTAATCTATCAGCACCCTTAAGTTGTTGTTGTTTGCTGGCCACCACTTCCGAGGGTCCCCATTTGTGCCTCCACTCCCCACACGTTTCTGTTTGATGGGTTTTTCCAGGAGGCCGGTTTGAAAGAAGGCGACTACATCGTCTCCATCGACGGGAAAGACTGCAAGTGGTCGAAACACGCCGAGGTGGTGCAGTTGCTGAAGGTGGCCGGGGATGAAGGGGCGACGGTTGGCGTCATCACCCTGCTCTCCTCTGAAGGGCCATGCACGGTAAGGGGAGGGTAGCGTGGCGTGGGCCCCCGGGGGTGGGAGGGGAGGCCATGCGGTGGTTTGTTCCCAGGAGAAGGAGGAGTATCAGTTTCATACTACATGCGGGGAGGCTTCCTTGGTTTGGGTAGGGTCTGCTGATTCAACAGAGGCCTCCCCCCCCCACTTCCACGCCTGGGTAGTGGTGTCTCTAGAGGACAGCTCCCGGCTGAATCACACTTTGTGAATGCCAGACCCCAGGTATAACCTTGATGTTTTAAAAGCATACAGATCCCGAGGTGCAGCAAATTCTGCAAGTTGAATAAATCAGATGCATTAAATATATATATATATACAGGCATTCACATACACACCCCTGTTCTTCTGTAGCAGGAATGTGAACGGGGAAGTGTAAAGAAAAAATAACTCTAGATATTGGGAGAAGCCAGCTGAATACCTTGAATGCTGCTGCTTATTCCCCTCCTTCCAAGAGGCCAGGTGTCCTCACGGCCCTTTGAATTTCAGATGCAACAGCGCTAAGCGGTGGGGGCTTGTTGCATCCAAATCAGTTACCCCAGAGGTGCTTCTCCTTCCTGGACTTCATTCCTCATTTATTCTTTCCCTGAATGATCAACCATTAACAATCTGTTTTTTGTTGTTGTTTCTCACTCCGTGACCAAAGCATTCGGGTATTCGGTGATTCGCGATGTCTCCGTCTTTCTTTGTTCCGTGTAGCACAACTTCAGTTGAAAAACTCGTCCACATTGTGCAGTAAATCGACATCTAAAATGCTTCTCTTTTTACAGTACGCTGTAAGGATGGGATGATCTGAATCTTTGGCCTACAAAACCTGATTAAGTCTCCATTATGAAGGTTCTGTCTGACAGACGGATATTTTGCAAACACCTAAATGTGGTTCACCTGGGAGAACGGCCTTAACTGGAAGACTTTTAAGGCTTAGCGCTAGGCCTAGTTCCTCCCGAGCTTCCTGTTCCTGACCCAGTGCAAGCTGGGAGCTTTCTTTCTGAACAGGAAACTAGGCAGCACTAGGCCTAGCTGAGCTTCAAGAAATCTTCCAGCCAAGACTTTTCTCCCAGCTGAGCTGTACAGGACTTAGAAATCTATCTGTTGGGTGGAATACAGAATTATGGAATTGTTGTTCCCCCAAAATCCCATCCCTAACAGCTGTGTTAAATAATGCGAAATAAGCTAACATGCTAAATATTATGGAAAGTGGGGGAAAGCCTGCAAAAAAAATTTGAATTTATGTTTTGCCACACTTGCTCCTGCTGGGGAGATGTTGAAACACTCTTTTGCTTGTGATTCAGACAGGTGTTTAATAAGTAATTTCAGGATTCTTCTGGCTGCTTTTCGTGGCTGCTTGTCTTCAGTCCTGTAGCTTTTATATTATATGTCTGTTCGTTGTCATATTATTCTGCTTCCGTATATTTGATTTGCCATGATATTAGGCTGCCCCAGGGACTGCTTTGGCGGAGAGCGAGCAGTAAAGGCCAAATATTTGTTTATTTTGTTTTATTTAAAATATATTTCCCATCTTGGCCGCTTGTATCCTTAAAAATAATCCTAAAACCTGAAAACAGCCAATGATTCAAATATTTTGCAAGAATTAATAGTATCTATCAAAATGCTAGGTAAAAACATGGCTAAAAACAGATTTAGAAGCAAGAAAATACAAACCGTCCGGTTCTGAAAACTCTCCTAGACAACCAGTCACTGAGGGAAAGCCTGCCTGAAGAGGAAGGTTTTTGCCTGCTTGCAGGAGGACACCCAAGAGGGGCTGGGCTGGTCTCCAGTGGCAGGGAGTTCCAGAGTCTCTGGGAGCAGCCACAGAGAAGGCTCTCCCACGTGTTGCCCACCAAGCACACCGGTGAAGGTGATGGAAGAGAGAGAAAGGCCTCCCCCGAGGATCTTAACACCTGAGCGGGCTCTCATAAAGGGTCTGTGAAGTATCTCGACCCACGATTATTTAGGGCTTCGTGGTTCAAACCATCCCTGTGAATTGTGCCTGGAAGAGGATCGCCAGCCAGAGCAGCTGTTGTAACGGGGAAGGTGATGTGATCCCCGTGTCCAGCTCTATTCAGCAATCTGGATGTTGGGTTTTGGACCTGCTGAAGTTTCCGAACAGCTACCAGAGGCAGCCCCCCCGGGAGCGCATTACAGTAATCTAGCCGGGAGGTAACAAAGGCCCTTGTCACCATAGCCAGATCGGACCTCTCCAGGAACGGAGGCAGCTGATGCCTTCACTTGAGTAAAACATTTCACAAATCATATCCACTTTTCCCTCTCTGGCAGGTGGACAAGAAGCCCCTGGCGATGATGTCGTCGCCGTCCCCGGGTGCAGGACTCCCGCCGAGAGAAGACAAGGAGAACAGCCAGAAGGCGGCCCCAAGGCCGAGCAAAGGGGCCAGCACCCTCCTGGCCTGGGGGAAGAGAAGCAAACGGAGCAAGACCACTGGCAGCGCCTTCAGCCTCCCCTTCTCGGCCATGGGGGACAATGAGCTGGCCTGCTGAGCCGGCTCGGCTTTCCCTGCCGCCCCCCTGGACTGGAACAAGGAGGGTGTTTTTTAGCCATTGGAGGCTCCCCCCTAGTAAGGGAAGGACGAGTTTTGGAGCAGGACGGAGGGAGGGTGCTTTCCTCAAGGGATTTGCCCAGTGGAGGCTGGGCGGTGATGGATCAGGGAGTGTTACCCATTCTGAGCAAGCCAGCCTGGTTGCTGAAACGAGCCTCCACGAGAAGGGGCAGTCTACCTCCCAATGCCAGCTGCTGGGAGCAAGCCAGATGGCTTCCTTCCCGTCTGGCTTGTGAGTTTCTCTGCTGACCTCCAGAGGCTTCTGTCAGGGGCCCGGCCGGGCTAGATGGACCCTCGGCCTGACCCAGGGCTGCTGAAGAGCATTGTAATTCCCACCTGCCCGCAGTCCCCAGCTGCGTCTGTGGGCGTGGGAGCAATCCACTGGGCCTGCCAAATAAAGGGCCCATCTCCAGAGTCTTGAATGCAGTTCCGAGCCACCCGGCTTGCAAAAGGCGCAGCTGTTCAGAAGGAAAATAGAGAGGTCTGAGGAGACCAAGAAGCAGGGAGGAAGCAAAGGGGCGGGAAGGGAACCGCCTTGGAACATCTTGCAAGAAAAATTCAAAAGGAAGCACATGTGACAGAGCACCTAGGCGCACAATCTCTCGGGGTGTTTACCTGGGACCAAGCCTGGCCACGTTCAGTGGGACTTACAAGCAAGCCTGTGCGTGCATAAGGACCGTGGTCTCTTAAGAGGCTGGATCAGGACGTCCCAGTGGCATTTTTGTCCCTGTCGCCCATTTGCATGAACTCTAGCCTGAAGCCAACCTTCCTCTGATCCCGGCCGCTGGGCCTCGTCTGCTGTTGGGCAGAAGAGCACCTTGCTTTCCCGACGGGGTTGGATCCCCACCTGGCAGGGGTGTGCCCCGTCCCCTTTCAACACTCCGGAAAGCCCCACCTTCGCCTCAGGTACGGCAACCCGTTCTCGTTAAAGTCAAGCCAAGAAGCAGCTTCTTTCGCTGACAACGTTCACTGTACATAATGGTATACACAGATAGGACAGAAGAGGGAGTCTATGCAAGGGAGGTGGTGGGTTCATGCCACAGACGTTGGGGGTCTCTTGGATGTTTTCCTAAAGAAGCTGGAGAGATGCATCAGCACCAGGTATTTGGGGAAGGGCTTGATGGAGCAGATGGAGGAGCAGGCGATGATGTTCCCCCAGAGTGATCTCCTAACCCCGGACACACAAGCTGCAGGCTTTCCACGTGGGCACCTTGCGCCCAGAGACAGTGTTGTATTCCAAGAGCAGTAAACGCTTTCCTTTCTGGATGCCCAAGTCCGTCAGGAGCCTTCAGCTGCCTTGGAAAGGGGCTGCAAGACTGAAACTTGTGCGGGTGGATCGTGGCCACAGGCCTGGAGGGCCCCCAGCAAGAAGGGCCAAGACTCCACTGGTCTTGGGTGGTCTCAGCTCTCCGCCCCCAGAGGTTTTTGGACTGCAATTCCCAGAAATCTCTGCCAAAACAGCTGGTGGCGAAGCCTTTCCTGGGAATTGCAGTTCAAGAACACCCAGAGCCGGCTGGAGAGCTCAGCGGTTTAGGTCTCTGGCTGCCAAGCCTGAGATTGGGGGTTCGATTCCCCAGAGGTGCCTCCTGGGAGAAGAGGCCGCCTGGGTGGCCCTGGGCCAGCAGAAGGATGATCCCAGGACACCCATAGAAAAAAGGGAAGGGATACACTTCGGAGTATCCTCTGCCTGGAAAAGGCTGGAATGAGTCGGCGTGACTCAGAATTGTCTTGATAGCACATGATGGTGAGGGTGAGCACAGATGGGAGTGACTTCAGAACAAAATTCTGAGCTGTTCAGATTTTAATGTCGCTTAATAATAATAGCAAAATGACTCTCTTTTTTTAAGCCAGGTGTATGCCTGTGCAGATCAACTCTCTCCTGTGGGTCAGGTTGCCATGTTTACAGCCAGCCCTCGCTCCTGTGCCGTTAACGATGGCTTGGGAGATCCTGTTAAAAAAATGAATCCTTTATAATGCTGGCGTGAGCAACCTTGGTGGTGCTGGGGGGTGGGAGGTGGGGTGGCCACTGTCTTTACCTGTGGACCCTCCAGCAGTTGGCACAGAGTGCCCAAAAATGACCCCCCCCAAAAAAAAATCAGGGGAAAGTGACTAGAAATCCACTTAACATGTTGGAAGAAATAGATAACGTGGTATATTTTAGGGTGGTAAATCTTAGTGGGTTGGAGCGCCTGGTTGTGGATTGAGGGGCTGGGGGTTTGAATCCCCACGGTGCGTTCTGGGAGTTGGGGGGGGTCCTCTGAGCTCAGCTGGAAGGGTGGGGGGGGGGAGTGATGGGCACTGCCTCGGGCCGCCGGAAGGAGGGACAACCCTTTTGGAGGACCTTTACACCCAGAAAACACTCTAGGAGGGGGTGTCGTCAACCCAAGTCAACTTGACAGCACAGGATGGTTCTTATGAAGTGGGGCTGGGAGTTAGGGGTGGCTCTGACCTGCTCATGGGGAAAGAACAAGTGGCTGGAAACGGGGAGGAAAAAAAGGTTAGAGGGGGACCTTATTTGGCCTAAGGACTGTGGTTTGCCTACTCCTGTTTTAAAGGATTAGGATGATCCCACACAACACCAGAGGACAGACAAGAGTTCTGACTCCTGTCCTCTGAAGAGGCCAGCCACAGAGATGGGTGAAAAGGTAGGAAGAAAAGCCTTAAGAGCACAGCCAAACAGCCCGGAAAACCCACAACAACCATCGGATCCCAGCCCTGAAAGCCTCTGAGAATACAATCAGGATGATGGTTTCCTAATGGTTCCAGAGAACGCACAGGCTGCTTGAGCAGGCAGGCTTGACGGGCCCATTCACAACAGTGCATTCGGAGCTATAACCCGCCTGTGTGTTCAGCGGTCCTTGTAGTTCAGCCTGTATTCTATGTTTGTTGAAAACAAGGGCTCTCGCGCTCTCTCTTTTACTTTCCCTCCTGTCAAAAGGTCTCTTTTGTTTTTCTAATTGCTGAGATTACCAGGCATGTGAATGCTAAATTTCAGCCAAGGCCAGCGGCATAGTGTGAATTTCTGTTGGCGTTGTGGCTGGCAGCCCACCCCACCTGGATCCTTCCGTTGTTGTGTTGTTTGGTTTTAAAACCTCACCGTGTGGTAACCATGAAAAGTCCACCTGCTCCAACGTTAGGAAAGGCGAGAGGAACCTTTCTTTGTAACCTCTGAATCATGCGCGAGAGCCGTTTCTGGATTTTTCCTGCCTTTTATTTAATGCTGACAGGGTTGACTGGAACTGAGGCTCAGCATGAGATCCTGCTTTCTGTACGTGGCCATCGGCCTTGGAAAATGGGGCCGAGCAATAAAACGAGTGCCTGAGCGCCAGGAGCGGAGTATTGATGTTCTTCTCCACTGAAATAACCCAGTCAACTTTCGAGTACCATATTTTCCTGTGTATAAGACGCCCCCATGTATAAGATGCCCTCCCACTCTTCTAATCCAAAATTAAAAAATCTAAGTGGGGCTTAACAAATGTAGGGGGAAAGGGATCAAACGCTGCAGGATCACTTTGATCCCTGCTTTCCCCTCCACTTGTTTTTGTTCTCTCCTCAGCTTACTTCTGTGTATAAGATGACCCTCAATTTGTAGTCTAAAGATTTTAGACAAAAGTATAGTCTTATACACGGAAAGATATGGATACTGGACAGGTATCTGTGTGTGTACAGTAGCATTCCTGCATCCGTTGGATTGGTACCTGCTGATTCACTTATCTACTGTTTGAAAAGATTAAAAATATTAAAATGAAAAATACTAGAAACAGACTTCTAAAGATGAAGTTAGCAGAACTGACCACTAGACGGAGCCAGACTACATTATGTAAAGATCATTTGCTATAATTTACATTTTCCAGCATCTGTGGAAGGGGGGGCTTGGGACCTGCAGAGATAAGAGGGGGGCGTCCAACTGTATGCATTTATGCGTCCCATCTCTAAGGCATTTCTCTTCTCTCCACTGATCTAGACCCTGACAAGGCCTAAGACACCTTCCAGCACTAGATAGGCAAAAAAGGGACAAGCAGTGGTTGTCAGGAGAGGTCTGGGATTTGGAAATGAGTAGCATCTCACCCCCCATGCACCTTCCAGAATCCCCCCCCCATCAATCAGACCTCTGAGGTATTCGGGGGGTGTCAATGCAACTAAAATAAATGAAGGGGGACACTTTCTGTCGGCTTAAGCCAAAGTCTCCACTTTCACATATGCCATATTATGCCAGGAAGGTTTCCGGGACCGGCTTTAGGCAGTTCCCAGCAAACGCTGGCAATGAGATGCACGCATACGGGGTGGGAAGTAGAGCGGGGTGTTTGCTCTGGATCAGCAAGTCAGTGTGTCGGGAATAGCGTCTAGTTTTGGTGTGCCAGTTTAGAATGGAGAAAGTATTGTTGGATGCAAGAATGCAGGCTGGGTAGGGCACAAAATCCCCCGCTTCGCGTGCTGGGCCTTCCCAACTGTAAAAGAAACAAAGCCAACGCCTGCAAACTCTAGGCGGATTGTTGGGCTACTAGAACCGAGGGTGTGACATTGCACAAGGTACCTTCACCCTTTGCACCACGGTGGTGACCTCAAGAAGAGAAGCAAGGTCCTCAAAGGATGTCCATATTCATCTTTTTTATTCACACAACATGGAGTTGCATCTACATTTCCATGCTTCATAATTACAAGAATTAGACAACTTTACACAGTAGGTTGCCCCTTAAAAATGGCCCGGCCACCTTCCGGCACGGTCCCGTTCTCCGTCCCAACAGGACTTCCGGTGACCCGAAGCCCCCGTTTCCTCGCTTGCTTGCCCAGTGCCTGAGGTGGTTGTCCAAAGAAAACACCCCAAAATGAGGAGAGATGGAGCAGATTTTTTTAAAAAAGCAGGGAAGAGAAATGCAAGGACACAAGGAAAGGGCTTCCCCATCTCAGCCCATAAGGCCAACTGGTGTCCACGTAGCTGTGATTTAATATAACATCCGGTCTTTGTGTATATACATATTATACACGTACATCTTTTAACCGCTCAAGTCAGAAGGAAAAACCATTCAACCAAAGGAGGAGGAGAAAGCTCTAAAAACTGTCATGTTTACGCCCACCATTTATTTGCAGATCTAACCTGCTATTGCTACACGGCTCGATTTGCGGAAAGCAGGTGCCTCCAAGCTGAGAACGAGGCAAGTGGTGGAGAGAACGTCACAGAGAAAACTTGGGGCCCTGGCTTCGTGCAGATTTTCGTCTCTCTCGAGGGGTGGTTCTTTCCTGGTTTGGAAAAATCCTGCCACCCAAAATTAGGACAACTGTGTTATGGCACCCGGCGGGTTTGCAAAGCAACGAGTGGTTCATCCCAGAGTCGCAGAACTTTTTTCACGTACACCCCAACACACACACACACACCTTGGGCAGAACCCCATCAATCAATCAATCAACTCCCCACCACCTTCTTAAGACACAGTGATAGAATTCAAAGGTTTGCCACAGGCTTCCCCCCCCCTTTAAAAAAAGGCAAATTTTAGGAATTACCGCTTTGGTCAAGAGGAGAAAAAAACACTGATATAAAACCACAGTGCGATCCTCTATGTGATCCTGCTGTGTGCAAAGCATTCCCGTGGAAGGAGATGCAGGATTGCAACCTACAAGCAGGTTTGCTTTCTCTGAAGGGCTGGGGTCTAAATCAGTGGCGTTCCGGCCAGTTTGCGCTTCCGATTTTTGTAGCATATGAAAACGGCATAAAAGACAAAGGGGACCCGCTCACCAAGCTTGGTCCCCCCGCAGTTAAATGACGGGGTGGGGAGAGGAGAAACCGTCTCCTTTTCTTAATAAATAAAAACACAATACAAAAGTATACATACACATCTTTGTGTGCCTATATACAGGATATACAAAGAGGTGAATAGAAGTTTCTGGGAAGAATAAGATCTGAGCAGCAAAGAACATACAGAAGACGGAGGAAGGGTATAGCACTGAAAACAGAGTTGGTTCAAGGGATCTAGTCGGAATGAAGGTCTGTTTCGCTTCCATTTCAATGTTTACATAAAAAATGTCCCTGCCTTCTTGCCTCTTTCACACAAGACACGGACTCTGGTTATAGACCTTGCAATTCTGTTTTTATTAGATGGATTCCAGTGAATTCCTCACAATTAAAACCCCTTTCTGCACCTACCGACCAGAATTTCCCGCCCTGGGTCTTGTTCCGCCTGGACAAGTGGTGAAAAGAGACGCTGCTCTACAAGCTTCCTGGGACAAGCGACGGCATCAAGGGGGAGCCCGGAACCAGGAGAGGAGGGCTTGGTTTGGGTCCAGAATCATTCCTACTTTAGAGGAGACCAGGAGCCAGCCACTGAAGGCGGCAAGCCATCCAAAACCTGGCCCCACCCAGCCTTTGGCCTGGTTTCTGAAAGCTCCTCTCAGGAGGAACAAATACTGGACTTTGCGAGAACGATCCATCCCTTCTGTAGTAGCCCTCTAAGTGTGGGGCTGGGAGGGAAGGCGAAAAAGAAAGGAATGGTTCC